ATACATACATACATACATACATACATACATACATACATACATACATACATACATACATACATACATACATACATACATACATACATACATACACGCGCATGCATGCACACAAGATAGCACGCACGAGTATTTCTAAAGTAAAGAATGAAATACATGTATACACCAGTCTGTATAATTCCCTCCACCGTCGATGTCCCTTCATTGATTGTAAAAATAATCAATTTTAGTTAAAAACAGGGCAAGAGAAAAAAATTGACACACAGGGTGATCAAAAAAAACAAAACTGTACAACTTTTTTTCTAAATATCTCCCACAATATTTGTGCCAGAATGTTGTAATTTGGAACAGATATAATTCATTCAAAAGGAATTCGTTTGCTATAATATTTTTTTAAAAGAAACTTATTTTCGAAACCGGAAACGGCTTTTTATGAAAACTGCATAAAAATGCAAAATTCACCATTTTAAAAGATCTTGTTATGACAGTCATGAAATCATTGGTCTGTTTTTCCCTTTCCTTTTATTTTTTTAATCTAATTTTTCCATCGTTGTCACCTTTTAACAATATTTCTTTTCTCTTACACAGTTTTTAAAAATATTTTTCAAATTGTGGAATTCCGAGAACCAATGGTCTATATTATGTCCCCCTTTGGACTAGACACATTTTAACGCGCCGTTCGTAATGTTCCGTGGTGGCCAAACACAAGGATCCACTCAACCATAAGTACTCAAAGCTACACACACTGTACACCTTACAGCTGTTTATTGAGACAATAGGTGGGGCGATTGCCTAAATAGACAGCATTTGTGGAGTTGATATAACCTGAAAGGTGAATATGGCCTTTATCAAGGAACCAAATGTCAAAGAGGAAATGTTCACGCTTTTCAAGACGATCGAGGAATCATGAACATATTGCTATCCTCTGATAGCTTTGCGAACGGGAAAATGGTACAGTCGTAAATGAAGATCTGCCCTGGGAATGCGCACCGTTAAGGTGTAGGAAAGTCTCTGCTGCAGACATCGTCAACGGACTGACGTCTCATGGGGCTCATCTACTGAATTCTGCACCCTGGTGACGTTTAAAGGGGGTGCGAACGGCGTTTGTATGACCTGAAGTGGTCGTTTTGTCTGGGAATTTTTAGATCTGATTCTCTAAAGGTCCTAACTGAAGGGCCATTTTCATCCTTGACATCAAAGGAGGCCTTCGGGGCACTTTAACAGTATTTCTGTACCTTGTGTGAAACTTACGAAATGAGTTGGTGGTGAGGAAATGTTCAATACAAAAAGCTTTCTGCTCTTTACTAATCTTAACCATGAACTCAGCAGGCAAAGAAAACTTGAAAAAAACCATCTGCAAACTTCTGTTGGCCTCTTAGGCTACTTTAGTTTGCAATATGGTGCAATCGTTGGGGTTTTTTAGTGGTAGGCCTAATGCGAACTAGTGGGTCATGCTACAAAAAGGGAACATAGCTGAAAATGGGTTGTTTTTATACTCGCTATGGGGAGCAAAACTATTCTGTGGATTTATTTAAAATGAATATCAGACAAATTCCTCTTGACTTCCAAATGTTGAGTACAAATTTGAACTGCAGAGCGTGAGTACAAAGGAAAATTTAAACCAAAAAAGTTGTTAGGTTGGTTTTTTGGATCACCCTGCAGTTAAAACTCTATACATATTACATATTCAATTCATATATATATATATATATATACGTTAATTTTGTACATACAACGTTTTTGCAATTGGTTTTTCGAAATGTTGCTGATCGAAAAGCAACAACAAGCATTGTAACATCAGTAAACAAATATCTGTTTACCTATTTTGGAGTTTTAAAAAGGTTAAGAATAGAACTTTCTCCAATAAACAAACAACGAGCTTGTTACCCTGTTGCTAGTTCAAGCTCTATATAAAGTTTTGTTTTATAGTTTTTTCAAGAAAGTAACGCGGCATGCAAATATAATCATCTAAGAAACCATGCGTGATTTAATGTAATAATATGCTCCCAAAGCCATATCTCGGACCGGTCTAAAACGTCGGGAAATTACATTTCTTTTCGTCATAACTCTGTGAAGAAAAAAATCGCATTTCTCTTCATTATGCTTTTCCCAAGTTTCTCTTCAACTAGTCCGGCTAAAGAACATTCAGTTTCAGGTAAGAAAATAATACTCGATAACGTTCAGACCTTTGGGAATCGCATAATATTCATAATTTTACAAGTCTTTGGAGATCTTTTTGAAAGTATTTTAGAAAACGTCAGCGTGGGGCCTACTATGCCAATGAAGTGCTAGTCGGATTTGAAAAATTCAGATTTAATGAGTCTTGGAAAAGGCGCACATTTCAGGATAATACATCAAATATTACAAAATCATGCTTCAAACCGACCAGAAAATATTTGTACTGCAGAATAGAAAAGAATCCTAAGTCAGTTACTTGCTCTGCTCGTCAACGTCTATATTATAGTAAAGATTTGAGATCGGTCCGTCAGATATGGACAAGGGACTTGCTCATTCTCCAAATATCAATAAACCAGTTTCAGATGGGTTTTTTAAGGAATCAGCCACATTAACAGACACGTGAAATAACAAAAGCCAGACTGTTTCTCCTATGCGCACTCTATAATCAATCTTCTGTTCAGAAAAGGGACTGACACAATAATTCCAGCTATTTACTAAGTTACACATATCTCTAGAAAATTGTACAACATTATGTACATGTATTTGGTGACTCGAATGGCAGCACAAGCATAGTCACACTTTGACAAAAACTACGAGAATTCTCGAAGAGGGAATTCCGTTTTTCCATACTGTAGACCACACGGCCACTTTTCAAGCATGCCCGGTAAAACCTTTCCGTTTACTCGTTTGTGACGGTGACCGTTCTATCTACTGAGATTCAATGAGGATAGAGACGAAGAAATAAAACAAAACAGACAATTCAAAACGTTTCAAAATGGGATAATGTCCGTACTTCGTAGGAATCCTCATTTACATCTAACTTCATAACATTTGGCTTGTCGTCACCCGCCATTCGTTATGCTACTTCAAGCTGAGCTGTCAGTGGTGTGACTTGAATTACCAGAGGTTGTGAGCAGCTATAGAAACGCTGTATGACCCATTTATTCTTTTCATGCATGAAATCCACTATACCAACGACCTTATGTGGCAGAGAACGTGTATAGTAAATAATTTGATAACATAATAAACTTAATGTGTATTTCTTACACGATGTGGACCACAGCGTCTATGTGGTGTAGCGGTTAGGCGCTTCGCTGTCGCACGCAGGAGACCAGAATTCGATTCTAGTGTGGCCAAAAAATTTTATCAAGTACTCGAGTCTTTCAGCTACAATGGTGTATCTTTCTCAATCCAGGTTGGCCATGACATGTAGGGTAAGGAGCACGCCTCTTAAATTATCTAAATTGTGTCAATGGGGACGTTAAAAAAAGTAATATGCATTTTCACAATGTATTACAGGTTGGTAACGATTCTTCAACAGTCGGCTTCCCCTTAGCTTCACTCTCTGCGTCCATTGTGTCATTCTGTCGTGGACTTGAATCGCTCTATTTACAAATACGTCACTTGTGTCGTCACTTCAAAGGTCTGAGGGGTGAAAAGAACATGAAAAACAATGAACGTAGCGTTAATTGAGGCTTTTAAAAAAAAGTATCAAAGATAATTACTGTTGTACGAAAAATAAACTAGATCTACACCAACACCTTGATATTATATTTTGTGCACCTATAAAGCCAACTCTTGTTGAAGACTTCTAGAGGGAATCTATATCAAAAGAGAGGTAGATAGGTAGGTATATAGATAGAGGGAGAGAGAGAAAGAAAAAGACAGAAAGAGAGAGACATGGGGAGACAGAGGGAGGCAGAGAGACAGAGTGACAAAGCCAGAGAGAGAGGGGAGGGGGAGGGAGACTGAATATAATATGTGTAAGTGTGTTTGGTTTTTTTGGGGGGAGTGGCAATGGGTGGATGGGTAGGTAGGTGGGTAGATGGGTGTGCATATATAGAAGAGGAAAATGTATTATATCTTGACAGATATAGAGAGACATATATAGAACACAGTGAACACCTTGTGTCTAAAACCTCATAGTTGTAGCAAGAAGTGCTATGGCAGGACGAACCCTGAGACTCAGGTCGGATAATCTTTTTTGTTGCTGCTGTTGTTGTTGTTGTTGTTGTTGTTGTTGTTGCTGTTGTTTTGTCTTTTTTGGGGGAGTTGTTGCTTTTTATTTATTTTTTTTTTTGCTTAGTTTGTTGGTTGGTTGTATTATATTTTAAAGGGGAGGATGACGGTTGTAAGTTGTCACTTTTAGTCCCTCTCCCATTTCAAAAAGGGGGTAAAGCAAGCCTGAAAAACTGCAGAGAAAAAGCATAGTCACCATTGAATGGTTTACAGATAACAAGGTATACTAAGCAGCCAAATCAAGCATGCCCACAACAGTGCCAAAAAGAATGCATCCACGTCTAATATTTCTCTATGCAGTAGCCCAGATGTAACAGGAAGCACAGCGTGGTCTACAAAAGCCAAATGAATTATTTAAATTCCTTAGGGCTAAATCTCGAAAGAGATGAGTTGGAAATAAAACTGTGTTTTGAACGTAAGTGTGTTTTACGCCCCCGTCGAAACAGTTTAGAACATATAGGAGAAGGGCTTCGACCCCGCTTGCAAGGGTCAACTGGGCTGAGAGGGATACAACATCCCAGCAGAAAGACCGAGATGCTCGATAGAAATTCTCTCCTAAAGGGAATTAAATCAGCGTCTTCTGTGTGCAACAGGGAACGCCTAACCGCTATACCAGAGACACAAATATGGATTTGAGAGCAGAATGGGAGTGTATTTGAAAATTAATGATCCCTCAAAATCGAATTCAGGGTTTACCTTTGAAACAAGGAATATGCAAATTTCCATTACAGAGTGTAAAATTTTGCGTGATCAAGTAAGGGTTTCAAAAGAAACTCTGCTCGGGTGAAATGTAGAGTTATTCAGTTTTAAAATGACAGTCACTCTTGAAATAATATATACCTTTTTAAGTTGAACGCAACTATAATATTTGCCACAATTCTCTTAGCAGGCAAGAAACATTCAGGGAACATAATATTCATACTTTTGAGAGCTAAGGAGCAAATAAGTAAGTACCAAAAAAACTTTCAGTTAAAAAACAAAATTAAAGAGTGAATCATATCGTGCAATAGAATCACACTTACAAATGTTTCACGTCAGTAGAGTTGAATAAATATGTTCATTTAAAAAATAAAATACAGTATTCAAAGGCTGAAAGAGGAAAAAATATGAATATAGCAATAATCCCACTGAAAACCGCCTTTCGAGAAATCGCTGCTCTGAGTCGTGATTTTAATATTTCTTGGCGTATGAATACGAATCCACTGTTTCTTGTGGTGCAAAGGTAACTACAAAGTTGTTTTCTCCTCATGGATAAAACAATAAGGGTATAGGAGTATAAAAGTATGTGTGCATTATATTTCAAAAGCATTGGCTGAGGAGGTACAAGGGTCCCTTTAGAAGTGCAGGCTAAAATCCTAATTGGCAAAAACCAAACACCAAAGCAAACTCAGGCAGCCATGTCATGCCATGCAAGCAAAAAAGCTATCTTACGATCGAAATGAACAGAAGTGCTCGTTCTCCGTCTTTCCTTTTTAATTGGTATTTCAATTTCATCGTCAATATCTGGTACATAGATCTGTGAAATAGGAGGTATCATATGCAAAGAACAGAGATAGGAAATCAAGTTCTATTTAGGCCTATAAATATATATATATATATATATATATATATATATATATATATATATATATGTATTTGTGTGTGTGCGTGAGTGTGGTAGTGTGTGTAATTTTATATAAATACGTATATTCCCCGTCGACTCTGAAGACAGTGACCTCGATAATATGTAGAACGAGCCAAAAGCCAAAGATTGCAAATAGCAATAACATCACAGGAAAAAATATAGCAAAAAAGGAAAAATGAATACTACACACGAAAAAGAAACCTGCAGAAAGCAGCAACAGTTATAGCAGTCGATATATCCAAAACAGTAACGAGTCCATTTTAACACATCATAACCAAAGCAGAACAAAATGCAGATTTGCGGCTCCGAGCCATGGGAATTTAGTAACCATGGCAAGCTGTACATACACACACAAGAACACAGAAGGCTGGAAAGGGGGAAAAGGGTAGGGGGGTTGGCTTTTTTACGAGTTTATGGCTTTACTACACAGATTTTAACGACTGAGCCTGAGCCTGAGCCTTGGTCGGAGTTTTAAAAAAATAAAAGTGATGTGTATTATGAAATAGATTACTCTTCCATTTACATTTTATCTTTTTTTTAATAGTAGAGGGTTTTACGGCGCTCGCAACAGCATAACTGCACATTTTATGTGAGGTACAAAATAAGTCCTCAGTGGTGTAGGTGGTGACATATTCTATACTCCATCTTTGTGGTCAAACATCTAGTGCCCATATGTCCATTAAAGATCCCTTGGTGATCTAAAACCGGTAAGAGTAGGATTCGGCCGCCATCCTGGCAAAATTCAAATTCCTACCAACTTAAAGTGTTTAATGTTTCCCTCGCGCTCTAATGAACTTATGCAGTTGCGAGCACCACATAACACTGATTTTTAAAAATTATTCGGCACTATTTTGACCTAGTTGTTTTACAAATGCCGTGAACCTTTTGCTAAAACTAAAAGTAAAACCAATACAGACAACCAGAAAAGGATGCCATACGGCAGGTGGTCCGTGGGTGCTCTGGTGTGGTTTGCTCCTTCTTTCCTTTCAAACAATATGTGTCTTCCTTATCTCTTTTCCTTATTTTCGTGTTCATTGTTCTCTTATAACACCTCTAATAGTCGGCAGTATTTTGATCTAATTGGATTGCAAGTGTTGTAAAACTCTTACTAAAACTAATCTAAAATCATTATTATAGTATATGATATTATTTGTAAGGAGTGTTTTACCCTGCATACAACATTATGTAGGAGCAACTAACATGTTTTCTTTTTATGAAGCAAAGTAAAATATTCCTATCGGCAATGCTGTGTCATTGCTAGAAGAAGATGGAAAGAGATTTATTTCAGAGAGTGAACTACTGTGCACCCTTCGAGGTTTCAAAGAGTATAGGTAAGGGAAAATAAGGAAAGATCATAAATACCTTACAAACTGTAAAGCATCGAACACGTACAATTGTTAAACATATATCCTTATGGATTTTTTTTTTACCTTTATGAAAGAACAATTCTGTTATGGGCTCAATACGATGTAGCGTATTTTATCTGGTCTTGCCTATCTTGTTATATCTTATCATTCTTGTCTCGTCTTATCTTGTCTTGTCTTGTCTTATCTTCTTGTCTTGTATTATTTTATCTTTTCTTATCTGGTCTAATTTCCATGAACAGTATAATTATGAACTAGCAACGTCAGAATTGGCTAATACAAATAAATTATAACGTCGCATTTGTCATCAAAAACTTGGTGCTCTTGTTTCTCTTCTATTTATTTTTTAAAAGCTGTTCAAGTACAAGTTTCAATTTTAGTAAGACAGACGAAGAGAGGACACCGTCCAACCTTGCCAAACCTCCTACTGAGAAGTGGGCTCCTTTTACTCTGCTCTATACAGACATTAAACGCTGTTCCTGTCGTAGACGAATAAACCATTACAACATCATGTTAACGACCTTGGGTTTACACTATAGATAACGTATTTGTTCACACTTACAAATAAGCAATTCAATAAGTAGAACCTAAACAATGTAGGCGAGTAACCATTAAGCGCAAAAGGGCACTCTCCTTCCTTTATAACAAACAACCGAGACACACACACGCACGCACTCACGTACTCACGCACGCACGAAGGCACACCCACACACACACATATGCACACACATATGCACACACACACGTGTGC